TGGTCTGAGAAACCACCTTGTAAGCAGCTATGGGCTTCACGTCGAGACCCTGCCCCTCCTCGGGGCTGTAGTGACGGGAATATTTCGATAGGGATTGCGGACGGAAAGGTTTGTTCGCCGCGGAGCCCAGCGCGGCTTCCTGGGGTCCTGCCGGGCTCCTCTCGCCGCCCTGCTCTTGCCGCACGCCCTTGGACGGGGGCGTTTCCTGCGTCTCCACGGCTCTCACGGACGAGGGATGGAGATTGCTCGGCTGGGTAAACCCGGCAGAGGGGTACTGAGGTCTGGCTGTGGCCGGGGACCCGCGCATTGCCGAATCCAGGCTTGGGAACACGGCGTTGGCTCGGTGCTGGGGGGCGCCCCCCTCTCGCCTCCTTGGCTCGGGAAGAGGGGTGGTGCGAACGGTTCCTTGGACGCGCTGTGGGAAGTCAACTCCTCCACGCTTTTCTTTTTAGTGAAAGGAGCTCTCAGAAACACGTCCGCTTCTTCCGGATGCCTAAGAGCCACGTTGCCCTTGGACAGAAAAGGAGCTCTGGTGAAGACGTCCACCTCATCAGACACTTTTCTCGAGCTGCGGAAAGGAGCCGTGGCAAAGACATCGGGTTCGTTAAAAACCTCCCCGGTGTGCGACTGGAAGGCAGGGAACAGCGACTCCCCTGCTCTGGACTGGGCAGACTGGGAGCGGGGATCTTCTTTGGAGGCCTCGCGTCTTTCCCTGGGCTGAAGTAACCCTGCGCACACCTTGCCGGTTTCCTCCTCCTCTTCCGAATCCATCAGTAAAGGCCTGGAGCCGCTGCAATCCAAAATATCTGCTTCGTGGTCCGTCCCCTCTCCCTCGCTGCTGTAGAAGGAGCTGTTGCTGGAAGGCCCATCCCTGGCGACGAAGTCCGGCTCCGCGTTGTGCTGCGTCTTCACCTCCAGGCTCTCGGCCCGAGCTTTGTACAACGCGAGGCCGTCGCTGCCGGGAGGTCCTTTACAGAGCTCAAGGGCTGCAGCGGGGAACAGGGCTGGATCCCTCTGCAGACCTGAAAATGCAAGAGAAGAGGGTTACTGCACGAGCTGCGGCCCCGTCATCACAGAGAAGAACGAAGGGTGCACGGGAAACGTCATGCCGTTCAGATTGAAACCACCGTCACGCATGGAAAATGGAGAGGGAGGGCGAATGGAAGAAAACAAAGATGCCAGGGGAGGTTTTTACGGCACACGAACCGACACACGACTCGACACCGCCTCGGGGACACCACGAGCACCCGTTTTCGGAAGGAGATGGCAGATGTTTGGCACACGAAGGGGCGCGCCCAGGACCCTCAGCACCAGCCGCCAAGGTTTGCTCTGCCACCCAGCACGGAGAGGTTTGCGCTTGGTGACACTGGGCTGCAGCTCCAGCTCACAGACAGCGTTTGTCACGGTGTTCTGCGCCGCTGCTCGTTGTCTGCCCTGCAGACACAGCTCAGCACGGCCTCTGTCAGCCGTCCCACCGACACGTGGAATTACACTCGGGCGTTTTAAACGCACAGGGATGCCCTCCAAGCTGCTGAAATAACACGTTTCAAAGCATGAAGGTCAGCCTGTAGTTTTTCATGAATCCTGGAAACTACAGCAGCATGATTTTCAAACCACTGCGAGACAGATGACGTTAAACAATCCACACCATGACTCCAAACCAAGCATCTACAACGCTCTGGCTTGCTTCTGCGTTAGCAAAAGCAGGCAGCGCGGGGAGAGGCTTGCTCTTCTGCTCTTCTCCAGGTCCAAGAGCCCAAGATGGGGTTGGTTTTGCGTTAGGACTCCACACAGACAGAAGAGATGAGATCTTACCTTCAGAGAGCTACTGGCACGTTAGGAGGGTGTCATTGGGCTCGCGTTAGCAAGAGGATAGGAAAAAAAGCACATGAAAACTAAGTGTGAACTGGGGGAAGGACGAGGAGGGGAAGGAGCTGGGTTGGCAGCCATGGACCGAAGGACAAGCAAGGTCCTAACCAGCCCGCCCTGCTGTGACAAAGCGGCATCGCCACCCATGTTCGTGCTCTGCCCGGGTTAAACGTTCACGTTTGCACGCCCAGGCACCGTTTCACGATCGAGTCCGTAGATGTTCGTGGGCTGACTCATTCTCAGGCACTTCTCACCATTAAAGACACAGCAGGCGTTCATTCGGCATCAAAATCGGTATTTATTGGGAAACTATTCACTTGGATACATTACGCTGCTAAACACAGACAGTGTAGATACGGGAACATTTCAGAAGGTACTCCACAAAAATACTCTCTCTTTCCTGAAGCCTACGCTGTCAGCAACCGTTTCACCGTAGATGCCAATCTGCAGTCACTGACACAGCATGAAGGTGGTGATTTCCTCCAGAGGGCTGGTTTATTACCAGGTATTGACCAGGGATTACCAGATTTACCAGGTATTACTGGGAGATTTTGAGGATACAGGCTGAAGCAGAGCAAGACCGGCCGCCACATCACGCAAAAGCCTCCGAATTACCCATTCCTGACCGAAATACAGCGTGCAGGAAACCAAGGGAAGGAAAAAGGCATTAATCAGGGTGACCAACGCAAACCCACGTCCCGCTTTTCACATGACGAGCGCAAACAAGTGGTCTGGTCAGAATTTTGGTTGTTACTTGCGTTAGTACGCGTCTGTGTTCACGTAAGAGGTGGTGTTCAGAGCAAGAGAAGCCCATTTGCTCAGGACAGGAGCAGCACATAACTCCCAACTTGGAGGCGCTGTAAAACAGCCAGAACGCTCTGTTTTCAGAAATAAATTACTTTTCCCAATGCTTTCTTGCTCTCTCCGCCCATCGTCAGTGAGAAGGGCGCTGGAAGCAGCTATGTCCCTTACCAAGGCCAGAACAGGAGTTGTGGATTACTCTGGGAGGATAAAACGAAGCAATGCTTAGGTAGGAACTCATCCTGCCCTTGCCTTAGGAGCTGGATTCCCTGCTGGGCAGTAAGGGAAGGGCTCTCAATTTGAATACAATAAAAATGGACACAGTGATACTAAAATACAGTGGATTAGCCGAGAAATTTGGGGATCTCCTGATGAGAGGAGCACCATCTCCACTCCCATGGTCTATTCTGGAGGAGGAAGACCTGGCTCCAGACCCCGTCCCACCATAACTGACCTCGGGCCCCTTCTCCTTCCCATGTCCTTGGGCTCCCTCACTTTGTTTCCTTCGGCAGAAAGCAAAGGGACAGTCCCAGAAGGAGCCATGGCCACATCCCTACAAGGACAAAGACATCTCCTGTCATAGTGGTTAATCTCATATGTTAAAATGTGTCCGAGCAATACTGTGACACGCAATCAAAGAATCAAACCCCAAAACCCCAGGCCCCTTGGTGTGAAGGTTGGGTCAGAGCTGAGGAGATGGTCAGTGCCTTCCCACACTGCGGGCTTTGCAGACAAACATTTCAGGGCTGTGACTGCGTCACTTTTAGGATGACAGAGAATTTACGTTAGCCAGTGCCAACGGACGCTTCGGCAACGTGAGACCAGAGACTGCAGCACGGAGGGACCATTTCCCAGGAAAAGCCGTGGTGGTTTTGTTCTGTGCTCCAGTAAAGGAGAGAAAGAGCAACAGCATGAGGGTAAAGGACAAATCTTGTGATCTGTGCCTCTGTGTGGAGCCCTGCCCATCTCCGTGTGTCCAGACTCCCAAGATCCCCGTTACTTCAGGGGGAAGCATCCCTTGCGCTTCAATTAATGCTCAGGTTTTAACGCGTGCACACTCCCACCAGCTGCAAGCTTTACTGCATTAAATCCTTACAGAATTCTGAGTTCAGAGATAAGGTTTCTCCCTTTTTTAAAAATTTATTAATATTAATATTCTAGGGTCAGCTATCCACACTAAAGAAACACTTCCTAAACTTTACACAGGGTCCCTTTCTGCAGGGAGAACCACAGCAATACAATCACTTGGTACCCCAGGAAGCATTCACCAGCACTGACACATGGGGCTCCCCCATCTTTTAAGGAAAATGGCAAAGTACTGAAATAAGGGACAGGAAAGCTGTAAAGGATTTACTGTCCCTGCTACAGGGGCTGCAAGGGGGCAGCGCAGTCACCCAGGCGATGATCCCATTTCCAGAGCAGAGCCCAAAAAAAGTCAGGGGTGATCACAGAATCCCAGAATCCCAGACCGTTAGGGATTGGAAGGGACCTCCAAAGCTCATCCAGTCCAATCCCCCTGCCGGAGCAGGAACACCCAGATGAGGTTGCACAGGAAGGCGTCCAGGCGGGTTTTGAATGTCTCCAGAGAAGGAGACTCCACAACCTCTCTGGGCAGCCTGGGCCAGGGCTCTGTCACCCTCACTGAGAAGAAGTTTCTTCTCCAATTGAAGTGGAACCTCCTGTGTTCCAGCTTGTGTCCGTTACCCCTTGTCCTATCATTGTTTGTCATCGAGAAGAGCCTGGCTCCATCCTCGTGACACTCACCCTTTAAATCTTTATAACCATGAATGAGGTCCCCCCTCAGTCTCCTCTTCTGCAAACTAAAGAGCCCCAGCTCCCTCAGCCGCTCCTCAGAAGGGAGATGCTCCACTCCCTTATCCCTATCAGTGATGGAGGCACTTCCAGAGTCTAAAGCTTCTCTTGCATCAAATAACTCCTGATTTCATCAAGCCAAAGCCAAGAAGGTCTCAACAGACGGTAACAGGAAGCTAAAACCAGCAGTTACTGGTGTGCAGGATGACCGGTCTGGCATTTAAAAGGGTCAAAAACCTTCTCATTCCTTCATTCTTGAAACTGGGGAGTTCTTCCTTGTACTCCAGTTCCTTGAAGGAAATTATCAAACAGCAATGCAGAACTATCCCCATACAGCACTTCCATGAGGCAACCAAAGCAAAACTCAGCATCACCACTGCTGTGCCACTGGACGCCAGTCTGGACAGCAGAGTGAAACAGTTCTGCCCAAGTCACTGCACAGCGGCACAACTGGGAGCGGATGCAGGGTCTTTGGTTCCAGAAGGAATTAATGATAAGAAATTTAATGACAAGGAATTTAATGTTCTAGTTTTGGCCCACTTGTACAGCCACCGACACCGTGCAAAGTGAGACAGGGAAGGTGTTACACGCACAAACCCACACAACATAACCCAGCAGTTTCTGGATCACTGGAGACCGACAGCATCGCTTGGTGCCCCCTCACTGGGCACAGCCAAGCACCACGTGCACCAGTCACTGTTCAGATGCAGTCTGGGCCATCTCCAGAAAACATCAGTTGAGTTTCTAGGGGTTAAACTCCCCCCGCAAGTCCCACACACCAGAACTGTCACTAAAGCAACCTCAGCCAAGCAAACCACCCATCCTCCCGAGGAACAACGAGACCTGATGGTGTGTGAGGCCTGCACCCCTACATGGGCATGGCTGGACCCAGAGCCATTAGGGAAACAGATTACACAAGAAATACAAGGAAAACCCAAGAAAACGCTCTTTTTTTCCCTTTCCCAAGTCTGTGTTTCCCACTGGGTTGATGCGCAGCAAAGTCACTGGCACCAGTCAGACCCGGGCACTGGTAACCACACTGACTGCTCAGCCCCATTGATCAGAGCGCTTCCCACAGCACATTCACGCTCCCCCACATCCGTGCCAGCTCCTCCCCAGCTCCCACAGACCCCCACGAGATCCTGCACTAGAGAAATGCACTGGCCAAGAAGAAAACAACTCACTCCACGCAGACACGCACGCTTCCTGCAGCACGGTACCCGCTTGATGGCATTTTCTGTAGTCAGGGGCCCACGTGCTCCACGTTTTATATTTGCTTGGATAGCCCAAGCTTTGGTCTGAATCGCACCTGAACTTTCACTGCAATTACAAAATGTTTTTAAAATAGATTCTTAAATAAGGTAGTTTGGGAAAGTCACCAGAGACAACGTTCTGCCAGCTTCGGGCTGAAGAAATGCCATCAACATTCACAAAAAGGCCCCTCCAAAAATCATTTGGCTCCACACAGATCCACTCAAGCTGTGGTAAAGGGGCTGTTGGAGGATGCAGAAGATGCCACAAACTGCTAAGACGCCTCCACCCACCTCAGACTGCTCCAGGGGGTTGCACAGCGCCCACAGCCCTGGCCAGGTCCCAAGGAACCCCATGGAGACCTGGACAGCCAGACCTGAGGAAGCTGCAGCACCTTCTGTTTTGGGACAGATGCTCCCAGCACAGCGGATATTGTCAGACACAACACAAATCTGCTGCATTGTGGGTGTGACACTTGTGCTCCTCCAGTTAAAAGAGGAACTGGGGAGATGTGCAAAGGCCGGGGCAAGTTAAGATAAGCAAGAGCCAACCTGCAGGTCCCAGCTATTCCTGTTAACATCTGGTCACCCCAAAACCAGAGCTTATTCCTGCACCCAAAGCACAACCTTGACTTGAAATATCTCCGTGTACCGTGGTTGCATTTGTAGAACCCTCTCAGGAGGATCCACCAAAACAGGCAACGCCAAAACCACCACCACGGGCTCCACTGGGGCAGAGCAGCTCCTGTGCCGTCCCCAAGTGAACACCAGGGGGGAACCACCCCGCTGTGGGTTTGCTGACTGCAGGGTTGTGTTCTGTCACTTCCCAACACCTGAGCGTTAAAAGGGGACAGAAACATCTGCAATGGCTCCAACCACGGCTGTAGCAGAATCACACTTTGCCATTTGGGGAACGCTGGGTCCCAAATGTTTCCCATGCAGACTCCGCATGGGAGTCGATTTGCTCCTTCCCCTCAATTCCTGAGCAGCAACCCCGACACCACCCTGACACCCATAGGACAGCCATTTGGAGAGCTTAAAATCCATCCCCAATACCCACTCGTTTCACCTCTCCTGCATCTCCCAAATAAGCAACGAGCACTTTGTGGTGCAGGAGGTACAGATCACACACAGCTCCCAGCACGCACGCTCCCATCGAACCATATTGCCCACCCCGATCCACGAACAGCTACTTGAAAAAGCAATAAAATAAACATTCACATCTGCTTATTTAATAGCATTATTAACAACCCAGTGCATCGATAATTTTTTCCAGAACCCTTGAACAAGTGCCATTAGATTTAAAATCTTAAACATTCTTTAAAAGTACTTTAATTCACAGAAATCTTTGTTTCTAATATACAGTAGATGGTTACTTTTTAAAATCCATTCTCTTTTCATATAATCTCAGTATCTGACTATACAATAACTTTCTATCTATAGTGTCTTTATGTTTCTCCAGTCCAGCTCGCCTGTGCTTTAGGAATATAAAACAAAAAAATAATAAAGTTCTATCCACAATTTTACTAAGGTCATTTCCATAGTTCTCATGTAAAGCTTCTCTCGGAAAGTGCAGTATACACAGGTAATGATACAACACACTTAAGCAATACTTTTATTATTAAGTGTAGGTTGGAAAAGTAGAGTAATGTAGAGCAGACACAATCCATGGGAGGAGTATTTACAGAATTTGTTAAACTAAGTGGTGGGAAGGGGAAATAGCGGAGAGACCGGAGAGAGGGAAGAGGAGTCACGAACTGGGATTGCTTTCTTCAGTACACACGGCTCGCAGTCGTTCGTACTTTCGCACATGGGAAACTGCACTTTTACTAATACAGCTACGTACACATACACAAGGTCAGCAGTAAGCTAGGAGTTATTCCACTACAGAGGAGGAGTCCTTCTGGGCAGAAAGAGCTTTCAAATACAAGATAGAAATTGGGGACTTCATGACCATAAGCCAACGAAAACGAGTGTAGCGGATCCAGCTATTGACAAACTAAGCATGGCAAGGGAAAAAGAAAAGGGAAAAGCCATCGGGTTGTAGCAGCACTGATTTCAAACCATCTGAACCGAGTGCGTGCTCGTTCCACAACGCCCGAGTGGAGTAAAGTCCACGGAAATCTTTGTCTACGGAAACAAATGGGTCCATACTGAACTGCTTTGCACTAGATGCGGTTATACAAGAGAAAACGGGGAACCCAGGACAGATACCAGATGCTGGACTCAAACCAGGATTAAAAAGAGACAAACAACCGTAGGACAATTGGTTTCATACACCATTTACAGTAGGTTGGGGGGATTTTCTTTCTTTTTTTTTTTTTGTTTCCAGTCAAACACAGAAAAGAAGTCACAGAAAATACATCTGCTGCTGCCACAATGCCCTTTTCATCCAAAAAAGGTCAACGAAACGCTAGTCACAGCCATACTCACATGTATTTGGTTCAAAAACCTTGTTCTGTATCACTTAGAGGCATTTTTGCAGCTTCAACAGTTGGGTTTTTTAACCTTTTTTTTCATGTTTTCCCCCTCCCCAAGGAAGCGCAGTTCATTTGCAAGCAGGGATGTTAAACAGCAAACCATCGCATGTGGGGGCAGTCCGAAAACTCTCTTGATACGCACCAGCATCACCAGAGGTACTGGGCAAGAATACTTCAGAGGAACTCGGCGCATCCTCCTCCTCTGAAGCCATTCAGAAACATCAGCTCTGCTACCCTGTGCTCTGCAGGAGAGGGACGTCCCTACCCAATTCCCCCGTCCCCTTCCTCCAGGAACAAACCCAACCCCAAAAACACAAACGCAAAGGTTGAGAACGCAGCTGCTCACGCACTACTCTAAGGAGAAAGGAGTTGGTTGAATGCAGGGGCCGTACGGCAGCTACGGTTATCGAATTCACGGTCAGGATTTCAGGGTACATCCCATGGGGGGGCTGAGGGTGGGGTAGCAAAGGTACAGAGGGAACCACAACGGGGTTGTACCAGTTTGAGAGGGGACAACCTGGAGAAGTGAGACAGGAGCTTTCCCAGGGCACGGGAAGATGGGGAGGGAGGTGGCGACTGTCGCCCGTTGGCAGATTTTGTGTTTTCATTTAAGGAGGGAAAAACATAAACCAAGCGAAAACCCAAAAGAACCACAACTGAAGGGAACTCTTCTGGAAACGAAAAGAGAGGATTAGGTACGTTACAGAAACTGCGTCTGCTACTGTGTCACTGCTACAGGTCTATGAGCTGATCCACCAGCAGTAAAGACCTGGCTATGTTGGGAAGACTGGACTCAGAGCTTCCACTGTTGTTTCTAGAATGCCCACCTGAAAGTGCGAGAGATAGGAGTTCAGTATTGGACAGGACACACACACACGACAGTTTCAGATGTTCAACAGCAAGCAAGCGAGAAAAAAGTCAAAGCAACACAGGAAATTTGCTCAAGCTCTTCTCATTACTTTGCATCACAACAGCGTTCCCCGCTCCCCACCCCAGCCCTGGCTCGCTGGCTTGGCTTGGAGAAACACCACAGCAGCCACCAAATCTCTACAACCACTGCTTTTACACCCCAGCTGCTGAATTCTGTCCTTACTACAGGGCCCAACACAGTTACGAGAGCTCCCACAACCCACAGGACTGTTCAGAGTTTTAAATCTTGACAATTCATCGCTGTTTTAAGGGCATCTTTGAGTTCCCAACTACTTTGAGGAGAGCTGAGCTATGGTGTGGCTTTCTACAACTGGTGCTTGGATACTGAAAGAAAGATGCTCCTCGTTACTCGAGGCAGTCTACAGAGCCAAAAATCTTCTCTGGCTTTTAGCA